TACGCTGATGGAAGTTATGAGGAATTTTTGCTTCTTTATACGTCCGCACTTTGACTGCCAACTTAAACCGAGTCTAATATTCAAGAAAAAYAATATAATTTGACATTTTGTTGCTTCGTGKGCTGAATTATAAATACAAAAAATATGTAGCGGTGTAAATACGGTTAAAAAGTCAAGATTTACCGAAGTAAAAGCTGATGTTGTCTTCAGTACGCGAACTTTCCAGAAAACGCACCGTCGTAGAAATGCAATGGTGGGCTCCGTCCGTCCAGTCATGCGTAGTGGAACTCGACCCAGTCCATAAGTCACGGCCAGCTGTAGTCATGAACCGTAGCGTTCGTATCTTTATGGCATTTAGATGAACCCACAGGTTTTCTGAATTTCCGGTAGATCCAGGACCTCGTGCGTACGATCCCGATGGCGGATCCAGGCGGATGTGGAAAATGATTTTTAATTCACGTGAAAGCTGCTTTAGCAGTTTTTCAGAATGAGTCCCATGCGTATTTAATTGTTCTGATTTTATTATGTCATGATTTTTATTTCTAATTTTCGAGCCCTAATAAGAGGGTAGCTAATCACTAATCACCCTGGATAAGACCTTCTTACTCTCTGGTCCCTTTTCAATGAGCTCACTCTATGAATTTTCTATACTCTATTATATTATTTGAATTTAATTTTATCTTTCATAGCGTTTTACTGATGACTTAATTCAGGCGCAGTTACAAAAATCAGCTAGAAATGAGGTGTTATCGAAAWCGTATATCAGTGGCATCCACGTTTCGTCAAAGGTCGAAGAAAGTTTGATAGAGATAAGATTAATATTTTTGTCTCTCTCTAACTTTCGGACCTCCCAATTTCACTCAGGAATGGAATACTGTGATGAACTAAGGATAATGCTGTGTTGWGATTGTTTCTATGTTAAATGACAATGTCAACTCATAGATGTTTCCATGGTGATGATGTTATGTTTAGTTTATATTGAGGTCATTCTAAAGTACGCTTAACGAGCATCTTATCATGCACCATGACAGTATCTACCATATAAGCTATATAGAAACTTGTTCGTCATTGGATCCTTAACCTTTCTTGGTAAGCTTACAGCAAATGTATCGATATCTTTTTCGGTAGTTATTTTTCTCTATGCGAAATCCCTGGAGGAATTCCTTGGTATCGCAGTACACATCGGGATGAGAAGARTCCCACTGGTTAACGTCAATCCAAGCTGTATACCGGGGACTACAGTAGAAGTTATTAAAATCTCCTGGAGGTCCCGGCCGTCCGATACGACCTCTCGGCCCATCGTCACCTCGTTCACCTTTCAAGCCGTCTTTTCCGCTTGGACCCGCGGGACCAACCGGACCGATGTTTCCCGTTCTGCCTTTGTCTCCCTTGATCCCTTGTTTACCAGGTAAGCAGTAAAACTGAGGCGACGCTACACGGCCAACGTTGGATTTTTTGATGCAGTTCCCCGGTGGCCCTATTAAACCAGGTAGTCCTTGTCTTCCATTAATGCCCTAAACGAAACACACAATCAATGACCGGGAAATATTATAAAATGTTGTATCAATTAGATAYTGGTCATGTGATCTGCTAAGGCTTGCTTACCGGTAATCCTTGTAAACCCCTTTCTCCTTTGGTGCCTTTCGAACCAGGTTGGCCCTGTAATCCAGGAACACCAGCCTACAATAAAAATAGAYCTTAAAAATGCTGGCCAAATGAAATTCTCGCTTGATGCTACACTCCTAAAATATACATCTATCTAAAACTTCAATTCCTACTTTACTTACAGGTCCCTTTGCTCCCGGTATTCCAGGCCTACCATCACGGCCGTCGTTTCCCTGCAAACGTTTGATCCCAAATTAGAAATAATCCCTTAGTGATGGTTATTATTATCATTTTGCGTTTCAATCCCATTTTCCCGGCTCACAATTTCCAGTTCTTTCTTTTTGATTTCTTCAGAATCACAAGCAAGCCACCAATGGCGACACAACTCGAAGATTGTTAGACAAGTATACCGTGAACATAAATCTGTGTGAAGCCTCAGACTTTGTTTAGATGTGGTCTAATTTCGACAAAAAATCTATAAAATGAAAATATTGAGCTTGAAATTTTGAATTTAATAATTTATATGCATTCGTAACACTTTAACGATATCGACGATGAATTATCAACACCATCACAATTTCATAGTTTGGAGTGATGATACTTGCACTTTGAATACTGACCGTTTTATATTTTGAATTCTTACTTGTAGTGTCGTCCGTGCATCGATTTTTTTACGAAGGATAAAGTTTATATGAATCGATGAGCATTAAATCTGATCGACATGGATCTTAATAATCCTTGAAATCATCGYAATAGAATGCTGTATCTATGAGCCATATTGACACGATATCTCCTAAAATGACTTCTGAAATCAACAGATTAATTGGTAAGAAGCTTATACAAGAACGTCCAGACCTCAAAAATCACATTTTGTGTGTTAAAAAGCCATTTCTGTATCAAAACACCTGACCATCTTGGTTACCGATTTCTAAATGCCCGTATGTTGACAGGACAAAATGCCCGTATGTTTACAGAAAAAAATTAGTGACTTATTAACTAGTCCCTCACACACATCATCTCCCTCCTATAACTCTTCGATTGCTTCGCAATCTTCGAGTCAAAAATRGAGCACCATGAAATAATTGCATTTTTGGGGACTGGTTTCCAACTCGAAAAATGTTGCATTAACATATGCTAATTAATAAAGCATATGAACAKATATTATCAGAAGTACAAAACTAGAAGTGTCCATCTCGCCAGTAATCTAGTCACCATCGCTCACTCGTGAGAGATCTTTTCAAAATTTGAAGAAATGCGAAAAATGCGCTTTCTTTAAAATCAGTGGCCTGGTGCGAATGTTACGTCTACTAAGGAATAGCCTCACACATTTCCGGAGCTTTTCAAAGTAATTGGTGGAGATTCTAAGGTRTTCATTCYTGTTATAAACGCCTTTTAATTATAAGCCAACTTTCAACAATTCTTAGTTGAAATATCAACCGATGCGAGAACTTCGGTTCTTTAGTAGACGTCACACTAGGCTGGACTCAGGCTCCTATGACAAAGATTTTTTATTGTAAACGGAATTACCWAATATAGTGAACATATAAAATGCAGTGAAGTCCAAGCTAAATATACATGRCACATCATCTAATATTGATTTTGACTATTTTATGCCTTTTTGTAATGCCATATAAATTTTAATGCAAAAAATTATTACATGTTTCTAATTACGGAATATAAAACGGATGTCCGTTAATATGCTAGTAAACTACTTTCAGAGTTCATATACCAGTTCAGCATTTGAATTCAGAGGTGTGCACATTATTAATCAAGAAATAGAGGCTTAATCGAAATTCCAAAACTGCACAATCCAGTACAACATCAACTCCTACAGTAATAAAAATACAAATAATGTAACCAATGATTTCCATCTATCATAAAAAGAATTTCAATGTAACTGTGCACAAAATTGAAAATTGACGGACAATTGAAATAACAATATGTCTTCATACATTACATGGCAGTTGCAATGATCGCTTTTGAGTCTTATGATATACAATCGTTAACCATTTGCCTTGAATAGGCTGGATTAAACAATAAAAACCAAAATTTTGCTATACTTCATTTGCAAACTGTTTCATGGCGTTCTACAAAGATCGCACATTTGTCGGAATCTTATACAGAGCAGCCCGAGTAAACCCTCCACAAGCGTCTAGTTTCAGTTGGATTGCACGTTGAGTGACAGGGTGACGTAGTTATTATTTCGCTTTGTTCCTCGCGGTCGATAGTGGGTTTGTATTTTGTAACATAAGTTAGGTTTGTTTGATGTGTGATGTTTTGTCCCTTGCATGCTAAGTAATTGGTTTTTCGAATACCAACAAGAAAGAGTCTATGTGTTCGGTGGTAGTGCATGTGGGAGATCACGGCAAGTGACACTSTATCCTAGGATACGACGATTGTGTTGCTTACAAGTATCTGGTTGTCAAAATACCTACCGGGGGTCCCTCAGAGCCTTGTTTACCCGGACGTCCACGGTTACCCTGGCGACCTCTGCTACCACGAGGTCCACGTTTTCCTCGTTCACACTTGCATTTCTATGGCCGACAAGAAAAACAAATACACTTATCGCACTGAAATTCTTCTACAGTTGGGAACAACTTTTAAATGTATTATCCATTTCAGGTATTGATCAACAAAGTATAGATGCATGCTTGTTGTGTCTCACCTCAGATGACCTCGCACGGTTTGGCCAATCGCTAAATACGCTGTTTTCCTGTAATAAACAGATCAAAGAGACTGCAGGCTACTATTCACTACTTCCAGGCTAACACTTGATCCACACAGCTTGGTAACTTGCAACGCCTTGATCTATTTACTACGCATGCTTGTAAGTTTATATATGGTCATGCTGTAATTGGTGTCAAGCATGCATCTTACAAACTGGTCATGCAAAAAATTAATAAAACATGAGGAAAGTAGACATGAMTTTTCGTATTTTCTTCGACAAGAAACGTGATCACAGACTATAAACCGACTCAAAAATAACGGTTCATAAAATACAAAGAAGTGTCTCAATATCATGACATTACGAACAGTGGAAAGAAAAGACCGTGAGCAATTTTTAAGGCTCAGTTTATTGTGGAACAATTGCCATTCAAAATGCATGCCATTTTTCGAATCGGTATATAGGCCCAATATATAGATGCTAGTTTCCAAGATTGTATAAAGAGAAAATACCAAATTATGGAAGGTCAAATTAAATAATTAACTAACCAACATGCTACGGGTTAAAAAAAGATGATTAAGAAATTAAGATGTATGAAGAAATGTTAATGATAATGGTGATTGTGCTTTAAAAAAACATAAATACATKAGTAAAGAACCACATTAGCAATTGAAAATAATAAGATCAATGAACGATACTTCTCCATATTCATGTTGAAGTTACAGTTTTGTAGTTTAGTTAATTGTCCAATCATATCATTTCACGTCATATCCATCTCTACAATAATTCYGTCAACATCAGATATCCCCATAACAGCCACAATGCATGTTAACATAACCTGATTGGTCCTACTTTCAGAACCAAGAAAACAAAATGCATTTGGTGCTGGAGGCAAAAAAGTTTTCGTTATAAGAACKTCACACCTTTTTGCGGAACGTCTTTCTGAAACTGATGCCTAAAGCACGGCAATAATTCAAGAGCAATATTTGTTGCAAAAAAACAAGAAAAGAGTACATAAAAAGCTAAAGAAAGATGTAAACAAATGAAGTGCGAAGAAAAGTAGGCAAGAACTGCAAAAAATGTGACTGATATTCCGAAAAGAAGTGCGATAAATATCGAAAATGTCGTTGAGGAATGTAAACTCTACATTGGTGTAAGGAGTTGGGAATGATTGTTCTTTGAACGAAAAAATATAAACAAAAAAAAAAATGAGCAGAAGGTAAAACGAATTCCGCAGTTTAGAAAATGAAAATTACGAGAAAAGTTGTTGATAACTGACTTTAATTTTCAAGGAAACCTACCTACATGTAAAGTTTCTCTGAATCGCACAACAGAAATACTTAGCATTTGAAAATACTTAAACTTAGACWTGTGGGCTGAAAATACCTTCGTTGCTTTCACGAAAAAAAAGGTATATTCGCATTTTACTTGATTAGGAGAAGGATCGATGATCTTCAGTGATAACAATACTTATATCATTGTTTCATGCGACATTTGAAAGGTTTTTGTGATTRTCGTATCCAAGAGTAACGAATTTCCTCATTTTAGATGCATAGTCATACCGGTTAATAATGACAGGTTCCTAATTTGTCAAACGTTTTCATGAATATGGAAAATCATTCTAAATTCTAATATGTGCGAATTTAGCAATTATGTGTTAGTTATGATGTTAAATGGCAAGTGCAAGTTACAAGTGCAGTCAAGTGAAAAACACTGTGCTCATTAACATTAAAGAATTAACAGATACTCTCTTTCTCCCTTTCTTTTCTCTCCTTTCTATCTCCCATTCTCCCTCTCTTTCTTTCTTTCTTAATTGATTTGTTTATTTACAAAAACATCTTCAAGCGGTATGAGATGTATTGTTTTTTRTATCGTAAATCAAGTTTAAGGTATCAATTTTATCACCCATAAACTTGGATTATTTCTTCTTTATTAAGGTATTGGCACCAAGATAATCGATGTGAAAATACCCGGCTAACAATAAACTAAGGTGCTGTACGTAAGACTTGTACGCAATATTAATATTCTAGCTAGTATGATTTTTTTACTATAGCAGTTATTTTTTTCACGGCGAATGAATTCAACTGATTTGGCAGTGATCGGGTAAAAAGATGAATTGGATTATCGCGTGAGTCAATCTATGACCCACCCGTACTCACACCCWTCCAATGATAGTCAATAACAAGGACGACTCACCATCAGATAACAATGGAGTCTATTTCAATCTACCAATCTATGTCTATTTTTTGAACCCTAAAAACTCTGCTTTGTAACTTACCAAACGTTCTCTGTCTCCAAAGGATATAAAAAATATTTTARTAAACATCCAGCCTTAATTTCGAAACAACAGTTTGTGAATTCTCTCAATTGGAAGTAAAGATACGGCGATCTACGTATATACAATAAGCATTAGATCCATGGAAGAGCGCTGATAGCGGAGCTTTCGATTAACAGATCGTGCCCGTTTTTAGTAYACTAGTAAAGGTAGGCCACCGTGTTAGCATTCCGGTTGCTTGTTATCTCGGAGCAAAGATAACGCAAAATCTTTCCTGACAGTTGGACAAACGATTGGAACTCGTGTATACGTGTTTTAGCTTGTGCTTCAGATTAAAATGAGAGAAAAGGCACTTAGTGTTCTGATTACAACTCAGTACCAAGAACGTCTTGTTGTTATTTTTGTTTGTTTCTTTTTAAGCAAATTTGAAAGAAAGTAACCATTTCAACATCGACATAATATGAGAAGAGCGTTCTGTCAGATCACTTACGTCACCATTACTATAAAGTGTGCGACTCATGAATAACGGACACGACAACATGTGGYCATTTGGTCACGTGATATGCCAGTGTAAAACTATTTAAAATAKAAAAGCCAAAACACRTTCTTTTTGTGTTAATCTTGCGATCACCCACTTTATTCGTGAAACTTGCTTTTTCAAACCACACCGGCACACGTTGTTTGTGGCTAACCACGCATAATCAATGCCAGAAGCCACCAAGTGGTTTTCTACTTGTCGGGCTGTTTGTTTATAATATCAGACATGTACTTACTTTGGGTCGCTTTGTAGGCTTCGTGGTTTTCTCYCCACAGATCACCACGTACATTTGATTTTCTTGTTTGATGTAACACTCATCCTAGATCAACAAACCATCAACTGCTATTGTAAAATGATTACAAACTTATCAACATTTGATTGTTGTTTGTTTAAGAATGGGTAAGGAATGGGTTCATTGCTGTTATTGATGTGGTATTCATGTCGGTAATAATCACAGAAATCATTACATTTTAACTATTGGTTGACTATTTTTTTATTTTTTGATATACTCAAAAAGACTTACGGGAATGCAAAATCATTTCTATTTTTTTAAGAATATCGTTGTAAGCTTGCTGACTTGATCTTAAAAAATATATACTATCTATAAAGTATCATAGCCGCAGGATGACATGAAGTACGTACGAATAGTTCTTATAATTGTTTTTTTAGAAGGTCAAATTCAACACAATGAGACATTGGTTTTGCTTTCAGGAATGCAACATTTGTTATTTCCATTAGTTTGACTAAACGTAAACTACAAATATTTAGACTGTGTTTATATCAACCGAAAATGGTTCATGCAAAGACAGCGTAGAACTTCAATCTCATTAGCGATAAGTAGCCTTAAGAGTATCTGTAGCATTAATCATTACTAGTACTGTAGTATATCTATCATCCAAAGCCATTTAACATAWTGTAACACAGTGAATTGGTTTCAAGTGGGCCCTGCAAACATTTCTTCACAAATGTTTTATTTAGCGTGACAATGTACTAATTGAAGCCATCTACACAGGATGTCTAACCGAGGATATCCTTCCCGAACCACCAACATACTACAACAACTGTGTAAGAACACATCAATTATGAAGACCGGTGGATTTTGGAGTCAGGAGGATATGAAGAGGAATCGGATCAGTTTTTACCATATCCGTGCACTTGTGGACGCTCTTATTCTTGAGTATTTACTRACCACTATTAGAATTTGTTGGCTCGCTTTATTCCTTTTTGTGTGATTATATTTGACCCTTCTACAATTCTAAGTTACTAATTYAGCAGTTGTAATCATATATAGAATGCTTAGTAACCTACCAAGGTCATTCATATAATTTTATCGCTCTTATCATAGAAAARGAAGCCTTTCGGTCCATTTGACAGCAACACTTGAACTCGTTTTCTCCRTCACAAAATTCAATTTTCTTTATATATTACTTGTTAAATAAAAACTAAATAAGGTTTGGAACCAATCCATAGTTTTTTTTTTGTTTCTTTTTGTCATGTTTGGTTTTCTTTGTTCTTTCTTTGCTGGTTTAAGTCTATACGACTACTAAACTTGTTTATCGTACATGACAAACAAGCGATAACTCACCTTGGACTGTTTATTTCTAATTTTTGAATTCTTCCCTTTCGAAACTCTATCTTTAGATTGCTCATTTTTAGCCCTCCTTGTTTCTACCAGACTGGCCACGACTATCAGCCACAATGCAGTATACAGTACGACGCTTCTCATGACGTGAGAGTAGATTCAGAGTTCAACGATAAATAGATCAATCTTCAGCAGTGATGTCTATAAGATTTTCACCGGTAAAATGCTTAACCAATCAGCTTCAATCGGCAATGCTCTAATCCTATACGCAGATTTTTGTGGATGTCATTCATCGAGCCTGTCTTTGTTCTTCTAATTTTAAATCGTTTGCGTTAAGCGGAGTATGGATTACAGCGATAATCACAGCGCACGGCAAATATCAATAACAACTTTTTCACCAAACAACGTTTTAAAAATTCATTTTAGTTTTCACTTCATTGAGAATTGTAATAAAAGAAAGGCTAACATCATGTGTGTACAAGACATGCATGTTAAGTGTGCAGAACGTGTGGCAGTAATGGAGGTACGAGTGTTGAGTACAACAAACTGCGCGCAGTGGGACAAAGTATGCAAGATATGACACTACAGGACGGTATAACTGYGAATTTCCAACTTCTACGCCCTTTCTCGAATCTCCTACAGTTCAAAGCACTGCACTTGGATGAACCTTTGCATTCAAAAAATTGGCTGCGCGGTTCAAGTTCCGGTACGCCCAGGGTTTCAGCAACACATTGTACATAACGAAATCACATATAAATCACTGCTAGGTTATCCTACCCTCATAACACAGGATTGGTGCCATAAATGACTTTTAATTTGCTGAACATCAATAAGACATTCATTTATCTTTAGGTTTATTTTTAACACAGAAACAAAATTTTGCTTGACATCATTCAAAACGATGACCAGTCAATTATAAAACCAGCCTAACGAACCAAGCGGCCAGCAATGAAACCAATCTATTGAATAATAAAACCAAGGCCACCGAATGAGCCAACTGAGCAATCAAAATCTTAACCCGCAACAAAATAAGCAATAACCATGAATAATAATGATGATAATAATTAGGCAACTCAAAGGAGTAACATGGAGTAAAACTGAATGAACGCAACGTAGCATTAAATCATGTAAGTAAATTTTGAAACAATCCAATCAGATAACCATCAAACCMACAACCCAACCACTAAAAGAATTAGACAAAGTAGCGGCAAGTGGCTCAAACAAACGGTTCAAACACATCCAGTTACTTATAACTCAGCCACCAAACCAATCAACCAGCCATCCACCCATCCATCATCCATCAAAACAACTAAACACTCCCTATCAACCTACACGATTMAATATCCAACCTAAACTGCAAATCAACCTTATAACATTAGTATGATCAACCAAGCCAATCAACCAAGCTCAAACGAGCAACCAAAAAAATTTCCCACAATAACTGGGGAGGGGTAGAAACGATTTTCGACTAAATTGTATCGAAAGACAGCTATGATCGTGAGAATCAGGGTGTTTTAAAGGTTTTTGGCCCACACACGTTAACACTGGTATTTTAAAGATTTCTGACATGAGTCATTTTGACAATACTTTGTCTCTAAAGCAAYAATTACAAATGTTAAAAATATAGATTTGTCCATTAGAAGTTGATATCTTATGTTGCCATGCCCATCCAAYACTCTAGTATCTTTGGAATCTACCCCTAATTCCTCCCTCTTCCCCAACGCACCTGCAAACTAGCTTCAGCTCTACAAATAACTCGAATTAGCACTGTCGAGTAGGATATGAGTGTTATATCAACACTTGACTATCTTGATACTTCGTTCGCGTTATTGTATGTCTGTTCGCTATAATGATAATGTGCGTCTTCGCTAAAATGGACATTTCTTTTCTTCTAATGAACAGCAAAATGTGTAAAACCAGTGTAAATAAAAACGATTTTCTCATCTTGCCATCTTGAATATTGCTTTCAGTATCCATTCAACACAAAACTACAGAATGCACGATCAAACAAAACAACTGCATAGCTTTGAAATATTTTAAGCRCAAAATTATTACTCTCGGGTACCATTCGATAAATAAGCTATGCTTTAACATTCCACCTCCCCCCCTGACATCGCGTAAATTCTTTATTAAATCAAGAATGGAACCGTGCGTTTCACCCACTGTAAAATAATTAGATTAAGTGCAAAACGATAGTTTACTGACAACCTTCCTGGTCAGACGTGTAAGATATCAAATCAAAYATTATTAGAATGAACGAATCACAACACCTATGCCCGTAATCCATTGCATCAAAACTAGTTACATTTGAAAGAATTTTCAAAATATTTTCTTGTTAAMCTGACTTGTCTTTTTGTGTTAATGTAGCACAGCCGTGAAACTATTCAAGCGTTTTTCATATGGAGCAGACTTTTGCCCACGGCACCCATTGCATACTTTCCATCTTGATAAATCAAGCCAGTCGAGCAGCAATCAATTACACTGTATAATTACCGACAACTCACAGTTGGAAACTTTTAAAGAAACGTTTACAGTGAGAAACGTATTAAATTCTGCGAGACGATTAAGGCCATCCTGTTTTTGGAAAGTCAATTCACTATTTAGTCATAAATTACAAACTCTCCTTCTTAACTCTGTGATCGACTTATGCTGTGTCCATATTTGATAAGTAGAGCGGATTTCGTATGACTGTGCCAAAATWAACACGGTACGTTAGTGCTGTGTCCGTACCGTGCCGTAGCCGTGATGCATTRGAAAATCTTTACTTTCATTTGAAATCCTAGAAGGCGAGGTTCCGTGACCGTGCAGTACCGTGTYGTGATCCGTGCTTTTGGACAGTCATACGAAATCCGCTAATTGCCGCTAAAGCAAACTGGTTGTTTGATATTATTCGGTAACCGTTGTAGTCTAAAAAAAATGACAGACATATTCTTTGCATAAAAAATTCTTCAAAGCTTCATCGTCGTCCTGTTTAGCTGATTATACTATTCCTATCAACTCAAAGTATTATCGTCAATCTTCASAATCGTGTCTCATCGCAGATACCGCTGACATTTTGCTGACAACAACACAATGTTCATTTTACTCTATCATCATTATCATGATATCACGTTATAATGTTTTATGTTGAATATTTTAACATGGATTCTATTCCTCRTTGCAATTCCTTTCACTTAATTCCGATTCTAACAATTCTCAAAAAATCAATCAATCAATCAATAAAGGTTATTTAATGAAATGCAGCCCTAATTTGGACTCGGCGGATAATACATAAGAATGGAACCATCTCAGTACTATTACTAAATGTTATTTCTCATTTTATTATAATYATWTTAGCCTTTAGGATTTATTTTCATAACAAGGAAAGCTGGATTTAGAATAATACATAGCTTATGATGGAATTTGATAATCAATAAAAAATATTCACTTCCGACCTTTTAAATGGGTTATAAAACTGTTGCTGGATGTAGGGAGAACACGAGAGAAGCGTAGRAAATCCGTTTTATATTTCTTTTCTAAAAAAAAAACAAGAATTTTGTTGGCCGTTTTGATACTCATTTTGTACCTCATCAATCAATAAATTCGGATAAGATAAAGAGCGGCTGAAAACAAACTACAAGCCAAAGAAAAATGGCGGATGATTTGACCAAAAAACAGCTCCAACGTCACCAAAAACAACCTCAGTCGTTGGTGACACACGATATTTGAATACAAACTTGCTTCATCTTTATTTCTGTGCTGTATGCAGAAACCAAACCAACTCTTCAACAATCTAGTTGCAATGTCCTTTTTCCGAGAGGAGAAAACGCCCTGGCATCGGTCGGTCAAATATGGATTTTGATTGGCTAAGATTTTTCTATATTTTCATTGGTTGCTCAATTGTTGTCATTATATTTGTCCCGCAAAAATTGAATGAATATTTTATGTAGAGTTGCTGGAAATAATTCAAGAAATGCACAAATAAAACCATGTCTTTCACCATGAACTAGTAAGAGTTAATAGAGTAGTACAAACACTAAAACTGTGTAACAAAAAAACACACACTAAATACTGCTAAATTATGCTAATTCTGTTGTTTTATATTGTTTAATTAGCACTATTTTGTAGTAAATAGTGCAAAGTGTTGCACACTTTTAGTGTTTGCACTCTACTATGAAGACATTGAAAATATGAATACTCGTGAGACGCTTGAAATATTCTCTCATTTTTGCTTTTAACAAAATTATTTTGCGATATTTAMACGATCCACCATTTAGAATACTGTATTGTAAATGAAATATAAACACTAACTAATGAAAACAAGAATCATTATTCTGCTTTTTTTCATGTTGTTCCTTTTTACCTTTATCGCCTTGTCGCCGCTCGTCCTCGATAGTGCCCGGCCACGAAATGTTAWTTTCTGCTTTTTTACTTATCCATATAACTCATAAAATGAATATCTTAGATCTGGAATAGAAAAAATAAGGTGTGATAAATTAATTTTGACAGATATTTTAATTGTGCACGATAGAGCTCAAGAACAATTGACTAAGCAAAATGAGAGGCGCTATTTGTACTTCAAAAACTCATTAATTATTCATGAGGTATTCAGCCAATCCCTGATTGTAATTTGTACCACGTGAAGTAACTTGAAACCAGAGGAAGTACTCGTACCTTGTATTCTACCTTATTTCCAGTTACTTCTACCTTTTTCAAGTTACTTCTACATTATTTCCAGCTATTTCTACCTTATTTCCAGTTACTTCTACCATGTTTCCAACTACTACTAGCTAATGATAATCAAATTATTAGAAATAATCAGTTTAACATTAATTTAGTGAAAAAAGGTCTTTGATACATGACTCCCTCACGACTCGATCCCCCACCGTCTAGTCTATATGCGCCGTCTTATACCATTACACCACCGAGTTTCTGATGCGATTCCTCGGAAGATAACATACTTATAAATCTTATGGATTAGGCTCATTAGGAATGCCATGAATAGCAGACAAAGACAATTTGAATAGCTTTTGTTTCAGAAAGCCGTCCGGGAATTGAAGAACAACAAACGGTGCTTCATGTATTCAAAATTATGAAAACTGAAAACCTTAGTGGAGTTGCAATAAATCAATATATTCCTGTTATATGTATTTCCTTCGCTTTTTTTCCCTCCCGAATAATTAATGAGTTTTTGAAGTCGTTCAAAGGCCTCCAATTCGGACTTGACGGGATTTCAAAGTCCTTGCAATTAGTTCCAGTCCTCGGCTAGCGCCTCGGACTGGAACTAATTGCGCGGACTTTGAAACCCCGTCAAGTCCTCATTGTCGGCCTTTAAACATTACTTCTTAAACTCATGAATTATTCATTAGACATTCTTCCAATGAGCATTCAACT